TGGGGCTTTTTGTCTAGTTAATTGACTCAAATTAAATGCGAACACTTGAACGTTTTTTGCTGTTTTCTGAATATTCTTAACGTTCTGTTGGTATTTACTCTAATAACTTGGTCTCAGCCTCGTAGAAGCTGGACTATAAAGCGCCGAAGACAAACAGCTATTTGAGGGTCTCGCTGTTAATTGCATTAATGCACTTTAATCTGAAAAATCTAAAAATGTGGGCAGAAAGACCGATTGGGTCGATAGCCTTTTTCTGTAGGAAATAAAGATTATTTATATATTATATATATCTAAAAATGTTATTTAAATGGTCACAAAACTGAGTTTTGCGGCAACGGGGACTTGTGGAAAAGTGCAGCTTTTCCGTCAAAAATCCATAAGTAAAAATTTAATTTAAAGAAATCATTGAACTGATAACTGGAAATTTGCAAAGTCTCCAAAAGACCGCTCGGAAACTGGAGAAAATTTCAATAAAATACTAGCGAATTTCGATTTTTGCCGATGCGGGAAATCTTGATCGAAAAATGAGCGTTTTAACTCAACTACACTCGCTGCTTTTAAAATTCATAACTTTTAACCTGATGCAAGTAGGAAGTGGAAACTTTCAAATTCTATAGAAAACACTTGAATCTGAAAACTCGGAAAACGGCATTTAAATTACATCAAACACTGATTTTTACCGGCTTGCTACAGGTGGATCACAAAATTGAAGTTACCGCTCAAGTGCCATCCTCCGCTTTTAAAATTCGTAACTTTTAATCTGACGCAAGTAGGAAGTTTCCACTTTCGAATTCTATAGAAAACACTTGCGTCTGAAAACTCTGAAAATTTCATTTAGATTGCTTGAAACACTGAGTTTTACCGGCTTGCTACAGATGGAACAAAAAATTGAAGTTACCGCTCAAGTGCCATTCTCCGCCTTTAAAATTTTTAACTTTTAATCGGACGCAAGTAGGAAGTTTCAACTTTCAAATTCTATAGAAAACCCTTGAATCTGAAAACTCTGAAAATTTCATTCAGATTGCTTGAAACACTGAGTTTTACCGGCTTGCTACAGGTGGAACAAAAAATTGAAGTTACCGCTCTAGTGCATTCTCTGCTTTCAAAATTTGTAACTTTTAATCTGACGCCAGTTAGAACTTTCAACTTTCAAATTGTATAGAAAAGACTTGAATCTGAACACTTTGAAAATTTCATTCAGATTGCTTGAAACACTGAGTTTTACCGGCTTGCTACAGGTGGAACAAAAAATTGAAGTTACCGCTCAAGTGCCATTCTCCGCTTTTAAAATTCGTAACTTTTAATCTGACCCAAGTAGGAAGTTTCCACTTTCTAATTCTATAGACAACACTTGAGTCTGAAAACTCTGAAAATTTCATTTACATTGCTTGAAACACTGAGTTTTACCGGCTTGCTACAGGTGGAACAAAAAATTGAAGTTACCGCTCAAGTGC